AAAAAAAAAAAAAGGAAGAAAGAAAGAAAACAAACAACATCCCTCGAACGATTTGCTCTAACGAATCAATCGTTTCTGTTGCAGGACCGTCGCCAGATTTCAGCAGGCACACGTTGGTTAGACCGCGTGTTTATCACGGCAGGACCAGGCGGCAGATCTCCTCGACCAAAGAGAATGTAAGTTGCATTACACTATGTGGTTTCGCTAAACGATGTGATTCGTTTATTTGCAATGACCAGCTGAATATCTCCGCAATTTTCTGTTGCACAAAAATACTCGCGAGGACGAAATTCTAGTATTTTAAGAGACAAATTATATATTTTTCTCTAATGGTCGTTTATTTACCAGATTCTGGATGAATCACGTCGTTATTGTATTTTTTTAAATTAAATAGAAAATTTTAATTGAAATAATTCTTTAGAATTAAATTAAATTTAAATTTTTAAATTAAACCTGCATTTGTTTTTTGGATATTCTTGTTGAGCGTGATCCCATTTAGTTGGTCCATGTATTGTTCATTATTTATTCGTTATATTATCTAGAATTATAATATATATTTTATACAACAGGATGTATATAGTATATACACATATATATATGTATTTATGTATGTATTTAATTCTTTTAAACGAGATATTTAATTGATATCAATTCAGTGTATGTTTCTTTAAATAGACTGCGGATCTTTGTGCATTTATTGTAAAAAATCATGAACATTGCGCAGAGTGAATGTAATATGAAATATCGTATGAAATATGAAAACAGTAGTGCTACTTTCTTAGTTATATCAGAAATGGGAATATAATTTACATCCAGTTTACAAATTTATTAGGCATAACTTGTAAATCTAAGAACATTTCATGCCTGCTACCAACAGTCCATTACTTATAATTGATTCAATAGTAAAAGTGTATCGTGCGAATAATAACGAACCGTATTGTATATCATTTCCTTTTCAGCCGCGTTCACAGTTGTGAAATCACTCTATTTACATTCCAATATACATACGCACAATTATTATCATAATAATAGGAAGCATTATTTTATCGCCACGCTACAGTACAGTGGGTTGCAAAAACTTACTATCCGCATATGCACTACACTTTCTAATGAATTTTAATCAAATTCTATTGTGCGTTCGTAGTACATATCAAGTTAATAAATCAGTACAGAATTTAATATACTCTAGCTTGATTGAAAGATCGGGCAGCGATATTTGGCACAATAAAATTAATTGTTATTTAATAAAGTTGAACAAATTGTAAATTAAATAAGTGTCGATTTACCGAAATTTCATCAAATTGCAGAATGTACGTTGAAAACTTTGGAATTTCCTTGGAATTTTCACGATATTAATAAAACATATAAGCCAAACACTAAATTTTCAGTCATTATTATATTTCCAACACGTACGTTCTACTTGAAAATAATATATTATATATGTAAAATTGTACAACAAAAATATATAAAATATTTATAATATATTATTTTCAAGTTTTTGTTGTATTATTTTATATATTATAATATATATAGTATAGTATATATAGTTTTATTTTATTTTATATATTATAATATATATAGTATAGTATAGTATTATAATATATATAGTTTTATTTTTTTACTATATATATTATAATATATATAGTATAGTATAGTATTATAATATATATAGTTTTTAATATATATTATTTTTTTACTATATATATTATAATATATATAGTTTTATTTTATTTTATTTATATATATATATATATATATATATATATAAAATAATTTGCCACTCTATATAATCTAGGAACAAACAAGATTAGCACCAATTCGCAAATTTAAATAAACAGTAGCTCCTCCTTTCCTCAGATATTTGACTTCCATACATTCTACTTAAAAATAAATATAAAAAAAAAAAAAAAAAAAAAACACAGGTTTGCCACTCTATATAATCAAGGAACAGGCAAGATTAGAGCACCCATAAACAGTAGCTTTTCTTTCCCTCAAAAAATTTGACGCTCTCGTTCGACGTTCTCCACGAAAACCCTTCAATTTGCAATTGTTCATACAAAATTAGTGCTCGATTGGTCAAGTATAACATCCACTTTTTTCACCCACTGTCTGTTGGCACATCTCAATGAGCATCGTAGTTGGAGCGGGTCCGCGAGAAGCGAGAAGAGTCACTGGTCTGCATCGAACCTTGCCGGCAACAATCTCGCCGTGAATTATTGCGCGTTGTTTCAGCGCAAAGTAAAAGCAGAAATGCGGCGTGGAATTAGCAGACGGTCCCCGGCTTGAAATGCTAGGCACGCCGTGTCGTCGACGGTGCAACAATTTCGATGCAAATGTCGCGCCGCGCCGCGAATACGGAACGCAAGCCACAGGCAGCGTTAACTGTGCGACCTACCTGTCGCGTGGCCGTCTCTCGAGAGGTCGACGGTGTGTATTCTCTTTAGTCGATGACACATGCCGTTTTACCGCGATAATTCTCGTCCGTCACGGAGTTCTGGATCACTGGCTCCGAGATAGACGTTCCGAAGGAAGTGTTTTGTTACCGTGGTTATTTTTAAGCCGATGAATCCTCTTCTTCGCGCGAGATACGCCGGGGGACAAAATAAACGAGGCGTCCCCTCAAAAAGTATTTTTGACGCGAGTTACACGCGAGGAAGGCTGGTTTTTTTTTGTGTCCGAGGCACGACCGAAATAATCGTCTCGGATGGCGTCTCGATCGAATGATAAATTTTCTACCGGCGAGGGGGAGGGAAGGGAGAAGTTTCGGAATGTTTGAAGCAAACCTCAAACAAGCGTAGAATGCATATATAGTAATATAGAGATTAAATATATAGTAAATATAGAGGTAATAATATAGTAAATATAGAGGTAATATATGTAAACAAAGAGATTATGATTCTGTAGACTGAATGTATTCATAAGTAATTTATATTCCCATGTTTCCAAGAGAGCAGGACTGCAGTTCCTATATTTCATATTATATTCATTCTGTAATGTTTAAGATTTTCATGCGTAAACGTTTCATTTGAAAAGGGAGGAAATTAAACGGACGATACGTTGTCACATGAGTATGGACGTCGATCATGATGTCTTTGTCCGCCAGTGCTGAGAAACAAAAGTCGTCAGATTGCTCAATGTGCTTCTTTGACAACTGATGATATTACTAGTGGCTGATTAGAGCTAAATTAAATACGATTAAAATAAATAAAACGAAATAGATCAGAAATAAAACAAATGCAAATACTAGTGGCTGATTGGGTCTAAATTAAATACGAATAAAATAAAATAAAATAATAGGATAAAAATAAATACGATGTTACTAGTAGTTGATTAGAAATAAATTAAATGCGAGTAAAATGAAATAGATCAGAAACGAAATAAATGCAAGTGCAAATAGTAGCTGATTGGAAATAAATTAAATACGAATAAAATAAAATAGGATAAAAATATTACTAGTGATTAGAAATCAATTAAATACGAATAAAATAAATAAAAGGAAATAGATCAGGAATAAAACAAATACAAATACTAGTGGCTGATTGGAACTAAATTAAATACGAATAAAATAAAATAAAATAATAGGATAAAAATAAATACGATGTTACTAGTAGTTTATGATTAGAAATAAATTAAATGCGAGTAAAATAAATAAAATGAAATAGATCAGGAATAAAATAAATGCAAATGCAAATAGTAGCTGATTAGAAATAAATTAAATACGAATAAAATGAAATAGATCAGGAATAAAATAAACACAAATGCGAATAGTAGCTGATTGGAAATAAATTAAATGCCAATAAAATAAAACAGGATAAAAATAAATACCGATATCGCTGACAGTTGATTAGAAGTGAATTAAATGACGAATAAAATAAAACAAATACGAATAACGTCCGTATTTATATAAATAAAGGTACGAATCCGCGTCCAATGATATCTCACTTCACAATTAGACTAACAATAAGCAAAGATTATCAAAACTTCCGACAGATATCGGCCGCACGCCACGAAAGTGTTTTGACTTCAACTTTTCGGACCTGTTACGCGAGATCCGATTAATCTCGCGTGAGTGACAGCTGGTCGCGCGCGGAATTTGTAAAACGATTCGTGGGTAAAGAGGAACGAGACATGGGTAAAGCCGGCGCGAGAGGATGGTTAGAGCGGAAGCCATAGTCGGGGTGTCTGGTTGATCGAAACATCCACGTGCACCGCACGGTTCGAGAGTTACAGCGGATTCGACGTTACACGCGATTCCGGTGTTTCTTGTCGAGCAGAACGATACGCGCGGCTGAAGGTAAACACAGCCAATAGCAACCAGGAGCAAAGTTTGACCGATGTTCTGCCTCAGAGAGAGAGAGAGAGAGAATTGCTACTACTTGGATGCACGTGCACGTTGCCTCGGTGTTTGCCGCCAGTTTGGAAACATTAGCATAGACAGTCGAGATAAATAAATGGCATGATACGCAAACATGACTGCGAGGCTGTTAGCCGTATTCCGTTTGACTCCTCGTGCGTTACCAATTGGTTGAAAATGACCGAAAAAGAAAGGATCGTGAGGATCGACACTTTCAGTTTTTCTAATTTCACAAAGGAAAGTGATAATCTCTCAGTTTCGTTAACTGAGCTCTGAAACCTGAGTTCGTTTCTCTTCAAACATGTCTTTACAACTTACAAGGGGAAGGGGTAAAGGCGCGAGAATTGTCGAATTCGAACGTCTCTAAAAAAAACATTTATAATAGAAAATATTATTTCACAAGGGAAATTCGATTACGATAAAATAGGAAATACAGGGTGGTCACTCAAAGACTGAATGACACAAAACAAAAATAACTTTTACAAACGCATGTTTTTTAAATTTTTTATTATCTTATTTGGAAATATAATTAATATATTATATTTATACTATACCTATATGCTATTAATACATTAATAGTATATTATTATGTTATATTATAATATAGTATATTATATTAATATGTTATATTTATAATTATACTGTACTATTAATATACCAATATTATATTATTATTAATATATTATAATATAGTGTATTATATTAATATGTTATACTTACATTATACTATTAATATATTATACTTATAAATATATTATAATATATTTATTTGAATTAAAATTTTTTTTTTTTGTATAAATTTTTCAAACCTTTCAGTTTTTC